CACATTCACCCACACGCTCCATACGGCACAAGAAGCTCTATCGTGAAGCAAGATTAGCGGGGTTGAGAGTCCCACCACCCGACCGCTACTTCAATATTGGCGCCAACTATTCGGCATCGAACCATGCTGGGATGCTCGGGGTTGGTTTCCTAAGCATAACACCCCTCTCCTAATATGGCATCTGTTGTTGTTTGATTAGTAAACGCCGCCGCACATGGGTTCACCCTACAAATTAGCTCCAACCCAATGTGCACCATGTGTTGTGCATCGCATGCGATGCCTCACGTGTCATGCATCGCATGCCATGCCCCATGACCCACGAATAACATGCCATGTCTCACGTGCCATGCCTTACGTGCCGAGCATCACATGCGTTCCATCCCTCATGCCATGCCTTATATGCCGTGGATCACATGCCATGCCATATGTGTCAAGCATTACAAGCTTTCCCTCCGTGATGCCATGCCTCACGTGTCCTGCATCACATGCCATGCCCCACGTGTTGTGCATCACATGCCATGCCTCATGTGTCGTGCATTACAGACTTTCCCTCCCTCATGTCATGCTTCACATGTCCTGCATTACATGCCATGCCCCACGTGTCGTGCATCACATGCCATGCCTCATATGTCATGCATTACAGGCTTTCCCTCCCTTATCCCATGCCTCACGTGTCCTGCATCACATGCCATGCCTCACGTGTCGTGCAAAACATGCCATGCCTCATGTGTCGTGCATTACATGCTTTACATCCCTTGTGCCATTCCTCATGTGTCCTGCGTCACATGTCATGCCTCACGTGTCGTGCAAAACATGCCGTGCCATGCATGTTGTGTATCACATATAATGCATTACATGTCGTGCATCACACACAATGCCTCACATGTCGAGCACTGCATGCCATGCCTCATGATTCGCCAACTCAACGAGCAGCTACCGCGTGAGGGTCACGTGTAGATGATACTAAAGGTGCACCTTCTCCTGCACTTCCCCGAGGGCATCCTCCGTTGTGGTACAATACGGCCTTGTTCAAGCATGCTAACACCACGTCATGCAAACAACCATTTCGCACGTCGAACTTTTGCCAATTTGATGCGGCAATTATGAGGAGTGCACTAATGTGCGATGCATTGTCTCTGATGCCCGTGGCAGTCAGGGGTGGCTCTACCTACGATACTGCACTTGCCAAGGTAAACACATAGTTCTAAAGCCTTTTATTAACTTATGGATCAAGTTTTTTACATCCCACATTCACATCTGTCCCATCATCACCTCTTACCCTTTCCCCCCCACCAAGGCTGATTTTATCCGACTATTTTTGTCTGATTGCCTGAAATTTCAGACCAATTTTTTGGCCGATCCGGATTTTTCAGACTTGCCATTTTCTGAATGTTGAACCCTTCTGAGTTATATGTTTCTGAATCTTGAGAATCTCGGACTTCGCAGTTTGCGGATACTGAGTTTTCAGAGTGCAGCACGCACGGACCTTGAGACAGACATACCGGTACTGCACCTACCTGCCCTCACCCAAAAATTTCGTCCAAGTCCCCGACGGCCAGAGTCAAGTCCTCACCCCGCCCCGCAACCTAAAAAATCCGGCAAATTCCTAGCAGCCAGAGACAGTTCCCCCCAGCAGCCCCAGAAATTCGACTAAGTCCCCATAGATAGACACATTCCTCCCACACCTCCTGCGACCCTGAAATTTCGGCTAAGTCCCCACTGCGAGAAATATCCCTCCCTCGGCTCCCGCAACCCGAAAAAATCGGCTAAGTCCCTTGCAACCATCAAAATAAATCCTCCCACAAACCCCTGCAACCCGCAATCTTGCTTATTATCCGACTTTTGCTGGTTCCTAAAAGGGGTAACACGAAAATCATTCCTAGCCCGACTGAGTCATCGGCTACAATTTTTTTTTCTACCCTAAGGGCTATGTTTTCAATATTTTCTTTTTGGAACCTGACACTAAGCAATCAGGGTACCCTGAAACCAATCGTGGGGCCTGGTGTGAACTCTGAAAATACAAGATTTCGACTTGGGCGCAGGACTCTGAGTCGACATTCTGAACCCTGAGTATTTCAGACTCGTTGACTCTTGGACTCTAAGATTTCAGAGTAGCGACAATTTTTGAAAAATAGCCCTTCAGACTCGGGAATTTTTTTGGGGGGAAAAATCAAAGTGCCTTTTTTTGAAACGTCAACCCTGCCCCTCCCCCCCCCCCCCCCCCCCCCCCCCTTTGCACAACACCCCACCTACCCCGTTGCCGTATACATGCGAAATGCTTGGACATACAGATCTTGACCGTCACCTCCACAAGGGATGAGGAGAGGTGCGTAATGATGTGTTGCATGGTACACAATAATGTATGCTCATATGGCAACCGCGACAGCGATAATTAACGTACCAAAAACATGACTATCTTTACCACCACTGTATGTCCATTCTGCGGTTGCCCTGTCGGATGGGGATGGCTACGAGTCAGGTTATGCACGTGCATTAGTGAGCTACTGTATCATGGGGCTGTTAGAAGGCTAACTTAGCTAAGAAGGAAGGGCGGCCATGAATATGGCGTCAGGTTTTAGGAGCTAGGAGGGGAAAGTTTGACGAGAGAAAAGAGGTAGACTAGAAAGAGAGAGGGATACAAGGAGGGGATTGTACCCTCTACAGTAGAGTTCGATAACCTACCAAGCCTACACAAATATATATATATATATATATATATATAATTTGACATACCCCCTAGGCTTGGTAGTCACAAACCCACCCCACATGCAACACCTCTAAGCCTAGCACCCCCATACCCGGCAGCAGAGGTGACTGCAGGGAAGGAGGGCGCTAGGCCTTCTTGAGCTGCGGCGGGGTGGAGCCAACTGGCGTAGCGAGCTGGGACCGACACTGCGAGCTGGGATCGACGTGGCGAGCTGGGTCCGGTGGGACTGACGCGACGAGTTGGGTTCGACGTAACGAGTTGGGTCCGACGTGGCGAGCAGGGTCCGACACGACGAGCTGGGGAGGTGCGGCAAGCTGGAGTGCGGGCTTGCTGCCTGGTGCCTAAACCAGTGCGCGGCCCACTGCCGCCCGTGCGCTGACGCGACGACGGCGGCACGGCGGCACGACGAAGCCCTGAGGCACGGCGACGTGACGGGGCCGGCGCGGAGTGACGGGGCCGCGGCGTGACGGGGCCGGCGCGGAGGGACGGGGCCAGCACGGCATGACGGGGCCAGCTCGACGTGACGGGGCCAGCGCGGCGTGACGGGGCCAGTGCGGAGTGACGTGGCCAGCGCGGGGTGACGGGGCCAGCGCGGCGTGACGGGGCCAGCGTGGAGGGACGGGGCCGGCGCGGAGTGACGGGGCCGACGCGGCGTAACGGGGCCAGCGCGGCATGACGGGGCCACCGCGGCATGATGCGGCCATAGCAGCTTGACGCGGCCGCTATGGCAGCGAGAGAGAGAGAGAAAGAGAGAGAGAGAGAGAGAGAGAGAGAGAGAGAGAGAGAGAGAGAGAGAGAGAGAGAGAGAGAGAGAGAGAGAGAGAGAGAGAGAGAGAGAGAGAGAGAGAGAGAGAGAGAGAGAGAGAGAGAGAAACAAGCACGCGGCGGAATTGTGAGGAGCAGTCCCACGAGGAATGAACTGCTCTAATACCATGTTAGAAGGCTAACTTGGCTAAGAAGGAAGGGCGGCCATGAATATGGCGTGAGGTTTTAGGAGCTAGGAGCTAGGAGGGGAAAGTTTGACGAGAGAAAAGAGGTAGACTAGAAAGAGAGAAGGATACAAGGAGGGGATTGTACCCTCTACAGTAGAGTTCGATAACCTACCAAGCCTACACAAATATATATATACATATATAAATATATAATTTGACAGGGGCACCATGCTTTTCCTACGTCTTTGTCTACGGGAACGAGGATGGGCCTCTTGGAGCAGAAATTGTCACCACATGGTATTCTCAACTCATGATGCTATTTCACGTTATGGTAGGGGTGGGCGCTACAAAGCGGGAGGTGCCCGATGCCTTTGTTCGGTATTATGAGGTTGGGCCTGTGGATGGGAAGTCGTCATGCACGAAACTGCACCCCCCTGCATCGGAAGTGACTCTGCAGCTGGTCGAGTTGACGTCCATCGAGCGAAATGTTCACGTCGTGCGTCCGTTTACTAGGCTAGGCGTACATTGTCATTCCAGAATAAAATATGAGATTAGCATGAAACATTGTTCCCGAAACCCTGACATGGTTATATTTACGTGGAACTATTTCACCAAACACTGACATGTTTCCAAACACTTTCAAGTGGAGCTTGTTGGGATTTCACCCCACAACTAGAATGTTCACAATTAGAAAATAATAACAAACCAGATAGATTGCATAAAACCAAACAGTAACGAACATGCATGGCGCCAAGAAATCGAAACCCCAACCAGCGGGGTTCTCGCCCAAGCCTAATCGCGAGGTCAGTTGGCTCGGTCTCGGTCAGACTCAGGTTTGACATTTTGCGGGCACGCTGTTGGTCCCACACCCCCTCGACTAGTGCGTGATTGGTTCCTGCCAAAGTTACCAGAAAGTGAGCACGGAAGGAACTGCGTGCACCAGCAGGAGATCGACGGAAAACCTACCACGTAGTTACTGCCCAACCAATTTCCTAATGCCAACCTACTTAGTAGCGAATGTGACATTTTCAAACTTAGGGTGCGTGGAGAGCCGAGCACCAACGAAGGGACGAGCGGACGAACGGAGCCGCGGGTCTATGGCCAATCGCGTGCCTGCAAAATGTTTTGTGAGTAAAGTTTCAATTGATTGATGGGCACGTCTCGATTTTTTTTTTTCTTGAAAGTTGGGCACGCGCGCCAGCACAAAACCCCACGAACAACTAAGTGCACTTCGCCAGACCTCCAAACCCTAGAATAGCGAACTGCACTTCCGCAAACCCTGAACAGCGCAGTTCTTTTCGTTTTGGCGAATTGCCGAACTCAGCGACGATTTTGTTACAGTTTCAAAAAATGAAGTCAATATGTTTTATTTGTTTGCCTCGTTTGAATCACCTCGTGACTGTACTCGAATGTTAAGCAGCCCAAAATCTCCCGACGGGCAGAACGAAAGGACGAATGGAGCGGAGGGACGGAACCGCCGCCCTACTTTCCACGCACCCTCATCGAACCGAACTCACCGTTGGAAATTTGGGATGTTAACTTTTGGACAATCCGGACCCAGGGCTTTAACGCGCGAGCCGGGGATGAGCACGTCGCGCTAAGACCGTCTTACTCCGCGCCGACCCTGGATGCGGATCGGCGGAGGGGGTGGCGGGGCAGTCCGCGCATCACTTCCGCGCGCACACCGTTCCCTATGGACGCCTTTCCGCCCGTTCATCAGCTTCCGCCCGCCTCCGCCGCTGCTGCCGCTTCCGCTTCCGCCTCCGCTTCCGCCTCCTCTTCCGCCTCCGCGCCCTTGAACTTCGCCTCCGCTTCCGCCTCTTCCGCGTCATGCCCTTCCGTCCCCTCGTTCTCGTCGCTATCCGCCCTCGTCCCCCTCCGCTTCCCCCCGTCCTTCTCCGCGCTATCTATCCGCAAGTCCTCGTTTCTCCCCACGCTCATTGTAGCGCTCCTCTTAACTCTCGCCGCCTCCCGCTTCGTATCGCTGCCCTCCGCGTCCCGCGTGCCCTCCTCCCGCGCGGCGCATATCGACGCTGATGCGAGGGCGGAAACCGGCCACGCCGCGGAGGGAGCGGCGGAGCGGTGGGGGCAGGGGGAGCACGGGGAGCCCAGGGCGCAAGGAGCGCAGGGGGAGGGGGTGCAGGGGCTGGGGGCACATGGGGAAGGTGCGGCTGCTGCATGGGCGGATGGTAGAGACGCCTCTAATGTGTCCGTAGGATCCTCGGACAAGGGAGGCGAGAATGGGGGCGAAGTGAATGAGGGAGGAGGGGAGAGGGCACCAGAGCGAGGGGAGGAGATAGGGAGTGAAAGCGATTTGAATGCGGTCGGCGAGGGAGGTCAGAGGAAAGGGGGTCTTAGTGCAGCTGTTACTGCGGACGGCAGGTGCTTGGTGTGCGAGCGGTTAGCGAGACTGCCTTGTATCGAGGATACGCCTCAGGTGACGTGGCTACCAGGTGGCAGCAACGCGGGCGAAGTGGAGGAGGGGAAAGAAGGGGCAGGCAGGGTAGGGGAGGGAGAAGGGGGGGAGAGGCAGTGGGTGTGGAGCGGCAGCGGCAGCGGCAGCAGTAACAGTAACAGCAGTGATAGTGTTAGCAGCAGCAGCAGCAGCAGCGGGCAGGGAAGGCAGTGCATATTCTGCAAGATGTCAGGCGGCGATGCATTGAGGAAGCTAGCAGGATCATGGATAGTGGTGGCAGGGGACTCTGAGGTGCGGCAGCTGCTGGTGGCGCTGCTGCAGCTGCTGCTGCCCTGCAACGACCCGGCAGCCATGGCTCCTGTGCACCAGTTTGTGTCGCTGAAGCACGCTGATTTTCACCACTTCATCCCCTCGCATGACATCCGGATCGACTTCTTCTGGGCGCCCTTTGCTCCGAATATCACCGCGGCTATTGCCTCTCTACCTGCCACCGCTGCTGCTGCTGCTGCTGCTGATGCGGATGCTGATGCTGGTTCTCCTGGTGCTGCTGCTGTTGTTTCTGCGGATACTGATGCAGATGCTGGCGCTGATTCTGACGACGGTTCTGATGCTGATTCTACTGCGGCGACTCAATGGAACAGTTTGGACCGAGGCAGCAGGAGCAGCAGAGGCAGAAAGGGGAGGATGGGCCAAGAGGTGGAAGGGCAGCACCGTGGGGATAGTGAGGGAATGCCGCCGTATCAGCAGCACTCGTGGCAGCAGCAGCAGGAACAGAGAAAACAGGAGCAGAGGCAGGAGCAACAGCAACAGCAGCTACATTCACAGCAGTACCAGCAGCCTCAAACCCCTCACCCAACCTCATCTCTCTCCCAACCATCCCCTCCATCCCCGACCAACCCGCTGCCTCGCTCCCTCTCACCATCCACCACCCCAGCCGGCGACCCCCCTGCCTCCCCCCTTGCCCTCCCGCCCCTCCCGCCAAACTGCCCTGATATTGTCATTCTGGGGTCGGGACTATGGCACATGCTATGGGTGACTGACCCTTCGCACTTTGCAGCAGAGCTTGCCACTCTTAGATCGACCGTGCTGCGCCTGCTGGCCTCCCCCCGCTGCTCGCCCTTTCCACGGGAAACTGGAGGGGAAGTTAGGGGAGTGAGTGGTGCGAGTAAGTGGGGTGATGGTGTGGGTGAGGGGGAAGGAGAAGGTGTTGAGGATATGGCTGCTGCTGTGGTGGAGGGAATGAGGAGAGCTGCTGCTAGGGAGGGGAGTGAGGGAGGTGGGGAGGAGGAAGAGGAGGAGGTGGGAAAGGTGAAGGATGAAGAGGAGGGGGGGGAAGGGCAAGAGGAGGAGGAGGAGGGAGGTGGAGATGAGGGTGTTGGTGTGAAAAGGAGGAAGGGGCTGGAGAGATGGGGTGGGAGGAGCGGAAAGGGGAGTGGGGGGAGAAGACGCAGGGATGTTCAGAGACGGCTAGCAGCAAGACGGAGGGTACAGGAGGTGGTTGCAGGGGGTGCAGAGGGTGCAGAGGGTGCAGAGGGTGCGGAGGGAGCAGGGGATGCGGAGGGTGGTAAGTTGGAGGAGGTAGAGGAAAGGCTGGATGGGGGTTTGAGCGAGAGTGAGTTTGGGGAGGAGACGGATCCGAGCTTGGGTGCAGGAGAGGATGAGCAAGAGAATGAGAGTGAGGAGGTGAAGGGAGGGGAGAGCAGAGCGCAAGGGTTTGTGGTTGGGGAGGGCAATGAGGAGGGGTTTGATTCAGAGGAGTTAAAAGAGGATGAGGGGAAAGGCGAGGAGGGGTGGAGGGGAGGGGGGAGTGGGAGGGAGAAGCAAGGCGAAGGTGAGGGGGTGGGGGTGGGGGGGGAGAATGAGAAGATAGAGGTTGAGGTGGTGGAGATGGAAGAGGGGGTGGGGTTAGAGGAGGAGGACGAGAAGGAAATAGAAGGGAAGGTCGCTGGACCACCAGCCACAGAAGAGGGGAAAAAGGTGACAGGAGGTGAAGGGTCAGATGAAGGAGAGTTGGACGATTTGGGAGGAGATAAAGGGGAGGAGGGCGAGGCAGAGGTGAGGGAAGAGGGACAAGTGAAGAGACAAGGAAAGGGACAGGGGAAAAAAGAGAAGGAGCAAGGGGAGGAGCAGGGCGAGGAACAATGGGAGCAAGAAGCAGGGGAGGATCAAGTAGAGGAGGTCCAGGAGGAGACAGAGGGAAGGGCCGAGGAGAGCGCGAGTGAAATTGAGAGTGGAAGGGAGAGTGACAGTGTGAATGAGGGTGATAGTGAGAGTGAGGGTGAGAGTGTGAGCAAGGGGGAGGAGGAGGAGGTAGTGCGGGGAGCGCCAGCCATGCAGCCGCTGTTCTTCTGGCTGGGCTTGCCTGAGTTGATTCAGGCGCGGCTCAACACCGAGAGGAAGCGCGAGAAGATGTCCCCTCGCATGGTGAACCGCTACGACGCAGTGGTGCGGTGGAGCGGCCTGCTGCTTGTACAGGAGGCGGGGAGGGCTTTTGAGTCGGCTCAAACTCCATCTCGAGATGATGGGGGGGTGCGAGGGGGTGGCTTGCCGGTGGAGGGGAAGCGCGGGATGGTGGAGGGGAAGCGCGGGACGGTGGAGGGGAGTGAGGAGGGAGAAGAGGCAGAGAATGAGGAGGGCGGGAGGAGCAGCAGGGTGGGGGGAGATGAGCCAAGGAGTGGAAGAAGAGAGGGCGGAAATAGGAAAGGAGGGGAGGCTCAGGCGATGTTGCACAAGGGCCATGGGGGTGAGGTAGGGCCTTGCTTGCTGCTGCCGCTGAGGGAGCTCAGTAGGGGGTGTGGAGCGACATGCACTCCAGACGGGATGCATTACAATGATGATACCTATGCTGCTGCCGTGCAGATTATGCTCAACCATGCCGCTCACCTGCTGTAACTGGTGGTCTGTAACACGTGGCCAGCAGGGCTGACGTTTCAAAAAAAGGCACTCTGAGCTAACCCCCCCAAAAAAAAAATTAGTCTGAAAGGTCTTCAGCCAGAAATTAGGGACTCTGAAATGTCAGAGTGCGGAGATGAGCAAGTCTGAAATCCTCAGGATCGCGAAAGTACATTCAGGGTAACTACTATCAAACATCTGTATATGTCATGTTTGTATAGACTGTATAGGGTTACCTCTTAGAGGGTACAACACAGGTATATTTGTGTGTACTCTCACTTTACCATCAATTACAATTCCAATTCTGATATGGTATCACGCGTAGGTAGGATCCCCCCCACCTACCGCTTCCGCTCATGCCCCCTCGCGCCCCTCCTGGGCCTCGTCGCGCTCCTCCCAGGCCCCGTAGCGCCCTGTCGCGCCCCTCCTGGGCCCCGTAGCGCCCCTCCTGGGCCCTGTAACGCTCCTCCCAGGCCCCGTCGCGCCCCTCCCAGGCCCCGTCGCGCTCCTCCCAGGCCCCCTAGCGCCCCTCCTGGGCCCCGTCGCGCTCCTCCCAGGCCTCGTAGCGCCCCGTCGCGCCCCTCCTGGTCCCCGTAGCGCCCCTCCTGGGCCTCGTCGCGCCCCTCCTGGGCTTCGTAGCGCCCCTCCTGGGCCCTGTAACGCCCCTCCCAGGCCCCGTCGCGTCCCTCCCAGGCCCCGTCGCGCTCCTCCCAGGCCCCCTAGCGCCCCTCCTGGGCCCCGTCGCGCTCCTCCCAGGCCCCGTAGCGCCCCGTCGCGCCCCTCCTGGGCCCCGTAGCGCCCCTCCTGGGCCTCGTCGCGCCCCTCCTGGGCTTCGTAGCACCCCTCCTGGGCCCTGTAACGCCCCTCCCAGGCCCCGTCGCGCCCCTCCCAGGCCCCGTCGCGCTCCTCCCAGGCCCCCTAGCGCCCCTCCTGGGCCTCGTCGCACTCCTCCCAGGCCCCGTAGCGCCCCTCCTGGGCTCTGTCGCGCCCCTCCCGGGCCCCGTCGCGCCCCTCCCAGGCCCCGTCGCGCCCCTCCTGGGCTCCGTAGCGCCCCTACTGGGCCCCGTCGCGCCCTCCCTGGGCCCTGTAGCGCCCCTCCTGGGCCCCGTCGCACCCTGCCCGACCCCGTCGCAGCCGCCCGGCCCCGTCGCGCCCGTCCGGCGCCGTCGCAGCCGCCCGGCCCCGTCGCGCTCGCCCGGCGCCGTCGCACCCGCCCCGCCCCGTCGCGCCCGCCCGGCCCCGTCGCAGCCACCTGGCCCCGTCGCGCCCGCCCGGCCCCGTCGCAGCCGCCTGGCCCCGTCGCCCTTGCCTGGCCCCGTCGCAGCCGTCCGGCCCCGTCGCCCCCGCCCGGCCCCGTCCCACCCTGCCCGGCCCCGTCACAGCCGCCCGGCCCCGTCGCACCCGCCCGGCCGCCGTCCCGCTCGCCCGGCCCCGTCGCACCGGCCCTGCCCTGCCGCACTCGCCCGGCCCCGTCGCCCCAGCCCGGCCCCGTCGCGCCCGCTCGGCCCCGTCGCCCCGTCCCGGCCCTGTCGCACCAGCCCGGCCCCGTCGCGGCCGCCCGGCCCCGTCGGGCCAGCCTCGGCCCCGTCCTCCTCACTGGTACGGTTCCCCCCCACCCCGCCCTGCTCCGTGCCGCCCCGCACCACACTGTACTGCCTGGCACCGCACTACACCGCACTACACCGCATTGCACCGCACTGCATCGCACTGCACCGCACTGCACTGCACTGCACCGCACTGCACCGCACTGCACCGCACTGCACTACCCTGCACTGCACTGGACTGTTCCTGATGGCGGCGGAGCTTCGCTTCGACGCTGAAGGTCAGCCCCTAGAGTTCGAGGCGTGGCTTGCCGACCTCCGCCGTCAACTCACTGGCCAGCGGCAGGATGGTGAACCGCTTTCCGCACACCTTGACGGTACGCTCCCCTGCCCAGACCCCCCTGCTATTCTGCCCGCTGACCCCACACCCACTGAGCGTGAGGCTACTGCTGCCACTGCCCGTGCGCGCTCTGTCTGGCTTTCTCGCGATGCTGTTGCCCAGCTTGCCATTAGCAACGCCCTCCCCCCGTCCGAGCGTCCTCGCTTTAGGTCCCTCACTACTGCTCAGGCATACTTAGATGTTGTGATCAAGCGCTATTCCACCCCTCCGGCTGCCTCGGTGGGTCGCCTGATCCTTCCGATGCTCTTCCCTGACCTTGCATCTTTCCCCACTGTCTCTGACCTCGCTGCCCACCTGCGCTCGATAGATGAGACCTGGCGCGCTGCCTGCACTGACGCCCAGCTTAGAGCCCACCAGCCGCCCATTACCTCTACCCTCTACCTGCTTGCCACCCGCCTCCCTGACCGCCTTGCTGTCGCCCGCGACCGCTTTCTTAGCGTTCACCCCGCAGACCTCACCCTCACTGACTTTGTAGACACCCTGACTGTGATAGAGACCCGTCACCGCTCCATCGCCCAGGCGAGCGGTGTCGTGCCGGTCCCTATCTTTCAGGGTTGTGCCCCCGCTCAGTGCACCTTCTCCGACAGCTCTGCCGCAGTGGCTGAGACTGCTGCTGCAGCGTAGGTCCGTTCGGGGAAGGATCGCCGCCCCAAGGCTGGGCGCGGCGGAGGAGGCGGCGGGGGTGCGGGTGGGGGTAGTGGTGGGGTCGGGTTGCCTGGTGCTGGAGTGGACGAGGGGACCCTGCCCAGTTCAGCTGAGTCGCCGCCCCTGCAGGTGCAGCAGCCGCAGCAGCCGCCGCAGTCGCAGCCTTCGCAGCAGCCGCAGCAGCCGTCGCAGACGCGGCAGACGAGTGTCCTCCCGCCGGGGTGGCCCGGCGCTGGCGGTGGCCGGGCGCGTGGTGGTGTGCCGCGTGGTGGCTCTGGCGGCGGGCGTTGTCAGTACCAGATCCAGACCGGTCCTCGCCGCGGCGTCGTTTGCGGTAAGCTCGGTCACTCCACTCCCCGCTGTTTTCGTCGCCTGGACGACCTCTTTCGTCAGCGCTTCGGCCCGTCGCCAGACCTCCCGGACTGGCACAGTTTGCTTAGTCGTCAGATTCAGATTTTTGATATGGACATGGATGCCATTGTTTCTGCTCTGCATGTAATGTATGCTGCTGACTCTAGTGTGCTTCCCGCTTATTACTTACTGTTGCCTAGTGTAGGTGTTCCAAGTGTACCCTCCCCTGCTGCGTCAGGCGTAGGATCCTCTGCTTTGTGCAGTCTTGGTGTTTCCGCCGTCGTTCCGTCGCCAGACGCCTCTGCTTCGCTTTCCTTCACCTTGGACTCTGGCGCTTCTCGGTGTTTCTTCCGCGACTCCACCACCCTGACGCCGCTTCCCGTCCCTGCTGCCGTTTCTCTCGCTGACCCCTCTGGCGGTCCGGTAGTCGCCCCGGTGGTTCCTTCGGGCTCTCTTACAGGTCTGCATATCCCCTCGTTCTCCAGGAACCTAGTTGGTGTCGGCTGCCTCCAGGACCTTGGCGTCACCACTACGTTCCCTGGTCACGAGCGGTATGCTGTCTGTACTGAGGCCGCCACTGGTGCCCCCCTGTCCACGTTCCGCCGGGACCCGGTGTCCGGCCTGTTCACTCTAGACACCGTGACCCCCCCAGCTGGAGCGCTCACCCAGGTTGCTGCCGCCTGCTCCTGTCGGTCCCTCACTCACCCGACTCTCCTTTGGCACCATCGCCTAGGTCACCCTGCGCTCCCGCGTCTGCGTCACATGTCCCAGCACGGTCTTGTCCTTGGTCTCCCAGGTTCTCTCCCTGCGTTTCCCTCCTCCCCAGCCCCACCTTGCACGCCTTGTGTCGAGGGTCGGCATCACCCAGACGTTCACCCTACTGGACTCCCCACAGCAGAATGGGGTCGCTGAGCGACGCATCGGTTTGGTCATGGAGGTGGCTCGCACCTCCATGATCCATGCCGGTGCACCCCATTTTCTGTGGCCGTTCGCTGTGCGCTACGCTTCTCACCAGCTTAACCTGTGGCCGCACCCTCAGCAGCCGCAGGTTTCGCCGACCCGTCTTTGGACTGGGTCTCCTGGTGACGCGTCTGCGTTCCACGTCTGGGGCTGCCTTGCTCACGTCTGTGCCTCCGGCACGGACAAGCTCACTGCCCGCACCCTTCCCTGCGTCTTCCTTGGTTTTCCCCTTGACGCGTCCGACTGGCACATTTACCACCCGCCGTCTCACCGCTTCTTTCACTCTCGTGACGTCACCTTTGACGAGTCCGTCTCCTACTACCGTCGCTTCCCCCACCGTGGTCCCCCGGTTACTCCCCCCCTGTTCCTGGTCCCCCCTTCCCCGGTAGTCCCTGCCCCTCCTCCTCCTCCTCCCCGTCCCGCCCCCTCTGGTGTTTCCCACGTCACCCCCCTTCCGTCGGTGGACCCGGTTGAGGAGTCTTCTGACTCTGGTGGCCCTCCTGTGCAGTCCTCGTCAGTCGCCCCTCCCCTGGCGTCCCCTCCCCAGTCCCCACCTCCACCGCTTCTGCCGCCGCTGCAGCTGTCGTTGCCGCTGCCGCCGCCGCTGCCGCCGCTGCCATAGCAGCACCCGTTCGCTGACTCTGGGGGTGCTCGTCCCGGTAGCCCTGGGGGTGGTCCCTCTGGGGGTGCTGGTGTGGAGAGTGTCGGGGGTCGCCGAGGAGCAGCTAGCGGTCCCGGTGTCGCCGTTGTGCCGCCGCAGCAGCAGTCCCCGCCGGTGTCAGCCCTTCGCCTGCTCGGCCTGCCGTCCCTCGACCCTGCGTCGGTTCCTCCCTGACCGCCTCCTCCTCTTCCTGTCTACGGCCTTGTCTTCCCTCCGCCGGACTCGTCCCCGGCTCGTCTCCCCCCTCGTTCCCTTCCTGTGTCCCCTCCTCTGTCTCCTGACCCGACTCCTCCGTCGCACGTCTTGTCTCATCGTCCCTCCCGTGCTCGTCCTGCCTCGCCTGTCCTGCGCTCCCACCCTATGTTGCTTCGTTCCCACGCGTCTCGTCCTCCCCTTCTGCCGTCGCCTCCTCTGTCCTCCCTTGTTGTTGCGCCCCCCCCGCTGTCTGACTACCTTCGTGCCGCTCGTCCCCTTGTTCCTCGGGTCCTTGCCTCTCTCGTTACCGACCCGTCTGTTCCGGTCTCGTGCCTTGACGCTCTTGTCGCTGCGATCGCTGACTTCGCCTCTACCCGCCGCCTTGACTACGCCACCGCTCTGGTCTCTGACCCTGCCTGTCCTCCGTCTGTCGGGGGTGCTCCTGCCCTTGGCAGTGACGTCCTGGAGGACCGCCAGTTCGAGCTCGCTTTCCTCTCCGAGGCTGCTCCCCATCTCTGT